GCAGGGGGATTTTGAGCTTTGGAGTGGAGCCTGCAAATAACACCCGCTGAATTTGGGGGGTCCCCAGTCCGGCTGGCCACCTACAGACACCTGAAAGCCAACGGCCAGAAACCCGCAGTGAAGAGCAGAGATGCTGCAGCACACGATGGGGTCACAGGGAAAACCCCACAGGCTCCGGCGGTGGCTGGAAGAGCGAAGCGCCAGGAGACGCAGGTGATGGACACCCCGGATCTCGTGGGTTTCCGTGCGCTGACTGCGGGTTCAGGAAAGTCACTTTGACTCAGAAATAACATTTCATTACGTGACTTGAGCTTTCAAATCAATGAAACTTCAGCACACGCATAGGGTTACGTATTTCAGGGGATTCCTCAGTGAATAAGCGCCAAGAGCCCCCAAAACACCAGGCAAGTTTCAAGTCTTTGCTTTCCCATTTTACGGAGGCATCAGTTCCCAACATAAATCAGAAGCAATGCTTCTGTCACTGAGGTTATTTTGGTGAGATATCCTCCACAAAAAATTATCCAGGAGCAACAAAAGTGATCCATGATCATATCCATATGTTCTGAGAGTGGTAAATACTATAAAAATTAGTTTTATTTACTGAAGCATCCGGAAATCTTATTCCACACAACATTTTGCCGTTCTTTCTATGTAGCAACTATCTGCAATTAACTGTCAGCCTAGCTGTGTTATAATCATGCTGTAGCTTTAATTTATATATGTGTATAATTATTGCATAATTATATATATATATATAAAATTATTGCATAATTATATATAATTATAATTACGGCGAATAGGACTCTCCTACAAATAACTCATCTCTTCCCGTTGAAGATATGTTACAAGTTGTTACGTGACCTTCACAAAGGGATTGGGATCTGGCCTGCTAATGAAGAAAAATCATGTAATTTGCCTGGTTACAGGAGCAGTAACACCACACAGCTGGAGTCCCGATCAGGAAATATCCCCAAGCACCGTCTCACCACGGCACACAGCTGACGATGGAGAGGACGGCGTGTGACGTTCCCGGCTCGTCAGACGTAGCTGACCCCGAAAGCGAGGTGGTCTTCATTGAGCTTTGACTTTGAGAGCAACCCTGAAGACCAAAATTAGATTGCTCTTCCTAAGAGGGGAGAGAAGGCAAGGCAAGACTGAAACAAAAGCTGAGCACCGCCGCGCCTCGTGTCAGCAGACATTTCCAGGAATCTCCCAGTTTTTTAGAACAGCACGGCTGGAGAAGATCCTATTTCTCATCACTCGCCTAGGCAGCCCTCAAAACCAAACTGAACTGAGCGGGGTTTGGGGGTTTGGGTTTTTTCTAATTGGGTTTCTTTATTATTATTGTTTTTCCTTTCTTTTTCAAGTAGGATTTTTAAGTATTGTTTTGGTTGAGTGCAGGGTAGCCAAGAACACAGTTTCACCCAGTATTGACTACAATAATGTTACAATTTTATAGCTAGACCCAGAATGGCTCTTCTTATTTTCTCTGGAGGTTAATTTCAGCAAGAGCAATTCATGGTTGAAATAAAGCCAGTGGTATTACATTTTCTTGTGTAAAATCATACAACTTCCAGCAGTTTTAATAGACTATGGCAAGCAATTACTGCACTATATTTCTAAACGCGTACACGATACGTCCCTGTCTTTGTTGCTTTAATAACAAATGCATCACCACACCTGTATAATCCTTCGTTTGCCTGATGAGATGGGTATCCGAGATCAGGACACCACATGCAATAAAAAGGGCATGGATTTTTCAATTTCAAAAGAACTTGCTTTTCACTTTTGGATGCTGCTGACATAACAAATATTATTGCATCTAACCCCCCACCCCCATATTAACATTAAGACTATTACTATAAATTAATTAAATTAATATTAATTAATATTAACATAATAACAGACACAGAGCTGCTCAAGAACAGGCCATGCACAGGAATTACTGAGATGCTTCACTCAGAGTCAAGACTGGCCAAAAACATGATGCTTTGAGATGAAGGAGGCAGACAGATGGATGAGACTAGGAACGGAAAACAGATATAACGTCTGCCCAAAAGAAATGTATCATTAAGGCTTTATTACCTCATTGCTAGAACCCAGCAGTTAATACCTCATACATCACTTTGAGGCCAATCTCAACAAAAAGTGCCTGACACAGGAGTGCACTCGCGTTCGGTCCGCGGCCGAAACCACAGATATGGTACAAATCGGGCCAAAAGAGCAGAAACCGGCCAGGTTTAACTCACCACCCATCTGAACCAGCACAACCACCATGTTAACATCATGTTCAGCATCTGCCCCGGGGACTCGCATCGCAGTAACTGTGGGATTGCTGCTCCGGGGGGGATTTGGGGCTGTGGAGTGGGATTAGAAGCGCTGGAGCTTTGTCAGATCTCTGGGTTTATCGCCTCGGATCCTGCAATAGGTGTACAAGGATTTCAATTCTCTCTTCTTCTACCAGGAAAAAAATTCACTCACCAGTATTAGGATATATTCCCTTTTATCAGCAAATTAAACCCACCACATGTTTCAGCAATACATTCCCTAACCCTTGGGCTGAGGGAGCACTGACCAAGAATGCATTTCTGCTTTGGAAACACCCGTGCAATTACACCCCGTGGCTGGGGGGTGCTGGGGGGCATTTTGGAGGTGAAGTCCCCTGGAAGGATGCTCTTTCCATTCCAGCCAACTTTCAGCAGCACATACTGGACACACTCTGGCCCTTATTTTTGCCCCCACCTCACTGCCTCGGATCACAAAAGAATTCCTCTGGGAACTGGGACTCAGCAGCAGGAGGAAAATCCTCTCTCCTGGCTCACGAGATGGTTGAGAAGAGGCATTTCCAGACACAGCTTCCTGTGAGATAATTTTTCTGTGCACAATGCCCATTCAATAACAGCTGCATTCAGAGACCTCTGAAGGTATTTGAGCTCCTTTCAGACAAAGAACCCTAACTAATATCCCAGTACATGCCTAAGTGGAGCCCAGGAAAGCCATAAACCAGAAGTTATTGGGCCAAATTGTGCAGCAGTGCCCCACCTGAAGAGAAATCTCATGCCCTGCTGCTGAGGGCAACACCAGGACAGCACTGGGCAAAGAAACCTGGAAAGCTGAACTGATGCCTTTTCAAGAACAGGCATGCAAGCATATGCCGAAGGTCTCTTTCACTTCTCTGTCAGAAAAAAAAAAATCTCCTACACACGATTAAAACCAGAGCCCACAACCTAATGACTAGTGCAGAAATGGAAAACACACAGTGAAATTGGAAAATTAGGCAGTGCTGGTATTCCAGCAAAGCAATTCTCTAGACATACCACAACCTTCTTATGGGAAACAAAATGTCAAATAAAACAAAAAGAATCTGAAAATGCAATATAAAACTCTTGATTCATCCTGCTGCCTTCCAATTCGATAGCAAAACTCCCATTGACTTCACGGCAGACCCGACAGATAGAAAAGTTTTCTACACCCTTTTTGCCAGGCTAAGAATGGCCACGTGCAATATGGACTACTATCTAAATATTTGGCAATTATACCAAGTATATCAGCAAAAAGCAAGTTTCCAGGCAGGTTTTAATGATTATTCAGTAATGACATCTCAATATTTAGGAACGGTATTGGGGCCAGTGCTGTTTAACATCTCTGTTGGTGGAATGGCCAGGGGGATCGATGCAGCCTCAGCAAGTTCACTGATGACACCGAGCTGTGTGGTGCGGGGACACACAGGAGGGCAGGGATGTCACCCCGAGGGACTGGACAGGCTGGAGAGGGGGGCCCGGGCAAAATTCATGGAGTTCAACAAGGCCAAGGGCAAGATCCTGCCTGTGGGTCGGGGCAATCCCCAGCACAAATCCAGGCTGGGACCTCAAGGAGTGGCTGGAGAGCAGCCCGGAGGAGAGGGACTGGGGGGGTTGTGGGGGGGAAAACTGCCCGTGAGGCAGCCCCGTGCGCTGGCAGCCCAGAACCCACCCGTGCCCTGGGCTGCAGCCAGAGCAGGGGGGGCAGCAGGGCCAGGGAGGGGATTCTCCCCCTCTGCTCCGCTCTGGGGAGACCCCCCTGCAGTGCTGGGGCCAGCTCGGGGGCCCCCAACAGCAGAAGGACCCAGAGCTGCTCGAGTGGGGCCAGAGGAGGCCACGGAGATGCTGGGGGGGCTGGAGCAGCTCCCCTGGGGGGCCGGGCTGAGAGAGTTGGGGGGGTTCAGCCTGGAGAAGAGAAGGCTCCGGGGAGCCCTTCGAGCGGCCTCCCAGGGCTTAAAGGGGGGACAGGAGAGGTGGGGGGGGACTCTGGGTCAGGGGGTGAGGATGGGACGAGGGGGGACAGTTTTGCACTGAAAAAGGGCAGATTTAGATGAGACCTAAGGCAGAAATTGTTCCCTGTTTGGGGGGTGAGGTGCCGGCCCAGGGTGCCCAGAGCAGCTGTGGCTGCCCCCTCCCTGGAAGGGTTCAAGGTCAGGTTGGACGGGGCTGGGAGCCCCCTGGGCTGGGGGCAGGGGGCCCTGCCCGGGGCGGGGGGGGGCACTGGGGGGGCTTTGAGTTCCCTTCCGACCCTAAACCGTTCTGTGAGTCTATGATTATTATACTTTTTAATGATAGGGAATGAAAATGGAAAAGCTCATCTATGTGTCATACACATCCTTTCAGTAATTTCTGTTTTCCTACAAGCTCGCTGCATGCTGCCTGCAAAGGGAACAGCCCTGAATCAAAGACTTCCAGCCCCCACAAGTGCCCCGATCTGCCGCAGAATCCTCGGCCGGGTTCAGGCTCTGGCAGCGACCCCGGGGGCAGGAGCTCCGGGTGCCCCCCCCCTCCCCGCGGTGCCGGGATTCCCGGTCCCGCCGCTCTCGGGATGAGTGAGAGCTGCCCCCGGCCCGGCCGAGCCGCAGGAAAGGAGAAGAGGGGGAACCCCCTCTCTCAAGCTCCCCCCCTATAAAAACCGGTGCGGTGCCGCCGGCCCCAGCACTGCTCCCCCCCCCCCCCGCCACCCCCGGCAGCAGCAGGATGGAGCCGCGTAACTCCACGGTACGGGGATGCAGGAGGCGGGGGGGGCCCTGGGTGCTGCTGCCCACCCTCTGCCTGGCGCTGGTCCTGCCGCCCTCCGGGTGGGCGCTGGCCCTGCCACCCCCCCGGCATCACCTTGTCGAGGGGTTGAACCGCTCCCGGGAGCTGCTGGTGGCCGCCAGCGAATCCCTCCACCGGCTGAAGGTCTGCGGGGAGGTGGGCAGGTGGTGATGGGGTGGTGAGGGTAGCCAGGAGGGTGATGATGGGGTGGTGGTGGTCCCCAGGAGGGTCGTGATGGGGTGGTGGAGGTACCCGAGCAGCAGGCGATGATGGGGAAATGGTGGTACCCAGGCAGGCAGAGATGGGGTGGTGAGGGTAGCCAGGAGGGTGATGATGGGGTGGTGGTGGTCCCCAGGAGGGTCATGATGGGGTGGTGGTGGTCCCCAGGAGGGTCGTGATGGGGTGGTGGAGGTACCCGAGCAGCAGGCGACGATGGGGAAATGGTGGTACCCAGGCAGGCAGAGATGGGGTGGTGATGGTAGCCAGGAGGGTGATGATGGGGTGGTGGTGGTCCCCAGGAGGGTCGTGATGGGGTGGTGGTGGTACCCGAGCAGCAGGCGACGATGGGGAAATGGTGGTACCCAGGCAGGTGGTGATGGGGTGGTGGTGGTCCCCAGGAGGGTGATGATGGGGTGGTGGTGGTACCCGAGCAGCAGGCGACGATGGGGAAATGGTGGTACCCAGGCAGGTGGTGATGGGGTGGTGATGGCACCCACGCAGGCGATGTCCAGTTTCTGGGGGTACCCAGGCAGGCGGTGATGGGTCAATGGTGGTACCCACGCAGGCGATGTCGCATTGCTGGGGGTACCCAGGGGGGTACATGCTCTCTGTAGCCTCCCTTTACCACTCTATACTCAGCCTTTGCTTTCATGCCTCTCCTCGCCACCCCCTTTAGGATGGGGTTTTGCTCGGACGTCGGTCTCCGCTCTCATTCACCCCCACAGAAACACACACACACCGCTCGCGGTGCCGGCAACGCATCGCCGGCTGATTTGGGCACTCTCAGTGTTAAACGCTTTCTCCAAGGCCCCCGCAGAGCTGGCCCAGGAAAACACTTGCTCCCGACATCGTCGTTACGTTTGCATGTTGTTGCTGGTGCCGTTGGTTCGGTGCTGTAGCATCTTCCCCACACTAAACCCCCTGGCACTAGCGCCAAAGGGAATTTTTTTTTTTTTTGCTAAATTTCCCTGCTATTGTTGCAAGCTTTATCTCCGAGAACTGCAAAACCCCCTCTCCCCCTAAATAGGGGTGGTGTTCCACACTTGCAATGGGTCAGTGGGCCCTGTTAAATATCTATGCGGATGATATTAGCTGTTTTTCACTTTCTAAGAGATACTTTACGTTTGAAACTGCAGCAACATAAAGTTCTCAATAGATTCAATGTCTAAGAGAATAATTTAAAGTAATGGAGGCAGTGCAGTTCCCAACATATAAAACAAATCTGTGCAAAGCCTGAGCTTATTCCCATTAAATACAACTGCCACATGCACTTCAGTCTCTTAGTCTATTTGCTAGCTTTTGTGTTTAACCATAGTTCTCACCCAGACTCATTCCTAGGACTCAGCTAAGCTCAGGCAGCTGTGATGCATCACACAGAATTGTGTATATTTACATATATATACACACAGTACTGTGAGGCTGAGTCAATGACCCTTTTTTATTCCTTTTTTAACACAGGAGCTCGGCACCCTGGGATTTGAATGTACCCTGGAAGAGGTTGATCTTGAAGATATCACTAAGAATCAAATCAACACGATAAAAGCCTGCACATCTGAGGATCCAGGGGTAAATATATATATATATATATATATATATATAAAGTTTCAGCATCATATTTTCATAGAACAGCTGTGTAAGTCACACTTCCACAAAATCACCATGTCTCATTTCTTCTTTAATTCACAGACTAGAAACTGTCCAGCACTGGAAAGATCTACTTTTGATATGGTAAACTGCAAGTTTCCCAAAAGAACCCCTTCTTTTTCTCAGTGTATTTTTAAAGCATTTAACGACAGATTCCCACATTTCCTGCTAATTCTGACTTTTACAGAGTAAATGCCTGGGGGGCATCTATGAGGATCTGAATGCCTACAGGGCAGAGCTGAAGAACTTCAATGATCAAAAAGTGCTGGCAACTATTGATGAAATGATGAAAGTAAGTATTTCAGTCTCCTTCCTTTCTAGTATTTCCGTCTTAAAACAGAATTTTCAATCCAGTGTTCTCCATTCTGTAGTCTGTCAAATAATGGCCTTTCTTCAAGCTGTTAATTTAAAAAATTGTTACTGTTTTTCCTAGAAGATACATGATTCTTATGAATTAGGGGTCTCACTTCATACCTTTGCCGATATGGCCAATGCATCAGGACTCAGACGTACGGCTCCTCAGCAGCCCTCCTCCTTTCACACTGCTCCCGTCTCGCAAGGAGATGGGGTACAGGATTTTCTGCCAGCTCCTCAGAGAACTCAAAAACAGAGTAAAAGAGAGTAAAAGAGAGATAGATCTATTTCTTTTCCAAATACTGAAATATGGTATGCCACATACGACCTAGCATGTACTGAACTTCGGTAAATATTAATAGTGAGTAAAGGAAATAGATATTTAAAGCTTGTTTGTTTAACAAAAGCTAATAAAAAAATATAAAAGTTAACTGCCTTTGTATTGACCCAGCATCTCCCAATAGCCTGGAGATTCTGGCCACAGGCCAATGAACCCAGTCTAAGGGGTCACTAGACAAAGCCAGCCATAGGCTTATTACTAAAAAACCATCTTTGTTCCTGAGCAGAAAGAACCTTTGTGCCTGAATGGACATTTTTGTCTCAAGGAAAGTACAGCTGCGCATCCCAAGTCTTTTAATTATATGAGTAAATATTTTAAATTTTATCCTAAGTCATCTAATTATCTCATTAATTTTTTTTTTTTTTTCATTTATAATACATTCTGATTTCTACGTCTTATCATTTATCACCCAGGAGGTGACAAAAAAAAAACAAACCTAAAGAGGTTTTTGTCTTTGCCGCTTTCTGGCGATAGTTTTTAATGCCCCGACCTCTTCCCAGGCCCTGAAGACCAGCAGCAGGAGCGTGCCACAGCCATCGGCCGGCGCGGGGCTGACCTCCTTCAAGGAGAGGATGAGGCTCTGCAGCATCCTTCACGCCTTCCGAATCCGCACGGTCACCATCAACAGGATGATGAACTACCTGAGCTCCCTGGAGAGCTCGCTGTAAGCGCCCGGCCCTCCAGCACTGTGGGCATCAGTATGACCCAAGGATATTTTTGGAGGAAAAAAATAGCAGGGTCAAAAGCCTGCAAGGCAGTTGGGGGCTTTTAAGGAATCTAGTGCATAATATTTCACAGAGTTTCTTATAAATCGTGTTTTAGCAAGCTGTTGTCAGTGCCTTTTAAGCTATCGTGTTGAACTTCTAGAAAATAAGCTACATTGTAGTACCAAAATGTTCTCAAACCTCCAAACACTCAACTGTAAGTTGTCTTAACTATTTATTCAGCTGCAATTTTCAGAAATTGAAACATATTTATAATAATCATTTTATGTATTATGATATTCCTTATTTATTCTATTTATTGCCTAATAAAACTGAAGTTAACGTAAATATTGTGGTGACTTTCTTCCTTGAGATATAACACGATTCAACACGATAACATCGTATCAATCATACTTCTCAAGCACTTTGAATATTCCCGGCATGTAAAGGTATACCATAGTTACATTCAGCACTGGTATCGTATTTTAAAATCCTGTTTCCACCTTGTTACTTACCTCAGGCGTGTTTCTTGGGGCTTTTCTCTCAGGCTGAGCACTCGAAGCAGCCCACTGGGTTCCATCCTCATTTGCAGCGGTTTTCCAGCCGGTTACAGTTTCCGGGGTGAATTCCTGACCCCACCGAAATCAATGGCTGAATTGTTTGTCTGGGCACGGGAAGGATTTACGCGTAGCTCTGAAGGCTGGCCGGGATGATGGGATGATTAGCTCCCCAATTCCTGCCCGGGGTATGTAAAACCAGCCCAGAGGACGGCGACCACCCACCCCCTCCGGGGCTGCCCTGGGCCGAGCGGTGCCTTTGGCCGCCACCCCCCCAGCTCCCACACCACCTCACCCCATCAGCGCCTTATTCTCCAGCGCTCTCCCCTTGCTTGGTTTCTCCAACCTCTGCCCTCCCATCTCTTCGGGGACCCCCTCCCCCAGCAGCCCCCTTTGATGCCAGGGGGGCTGGTGAAACCCCCTGCTCTTCCCGATGCCGGGGAAGAGTTGCCACCCATCATCCTCTCCCCGCTTCCCCAGGCGCCGGCGTTACCCGCACGCCACCCCACCCCTGAGCACGGAACCTGATAAACTCCCACCCCTTGAACAAGAGCCACGGCCCTGGCTCCCACGGACCACCACCAACATACACCGAGCTGTAAGGTACGAGCAACCTCACGCCTCGCTGCCCTGGTGACCCGACGCAGCTCCTCCCGCCTGCAAGAGCTGGGCAAAGCCAAACCGAAGACCACAGAAATACGTTTTTTTTTTTTAAAAAAAAAAAAAAAAAAGGGTTCTTGAGTTTGATTTAAAGAACCTGAAGGTTGAAGACCTTATCATCTCTCTTCACCATCTGCTATGCTAGCCAGGTACCCTCGTTATTACAAATCGGCATTTTATTTCCAGCTCTTTTTAGCTCTAAAAACCCCATCAGCAGAAGGTCCTGGGCACCAACATAGCCCTTTTTCTCAGCCACCCCCTGGGATGTGCGTAGCACTGGAGCATCAAGGGTTGGAAAGATAGCCCACAACATACAACAATCATGCAACGTATCATGCAACAGCTAAAATGAAAAAAAAAAATTCAAAAATCATACATAAATAGTATAAATGTTTCCTTTTTAATCCTTATTTTTTAAAAATATGCCTTTTCTTTCATAAACATATGCAGAGGAAGATGATCAAAAGAATCCTGTGTCTTTAAAACCAAGGCAATCTCCCACATCAGGCCACCGGTCTCTTCTGCAAAAAAACATTATTTCCAGCTCTTCTCCATTTCTGCAATATGTCCATTGTCAACAGAGCAACAGCCTTTGCAGAGATTCTGGGTTCTCCCATTTTAGTCTAAGCACCTAATCCTATTCAAGTTAAAACTAATCAAGTAAAAAAAAAAAAAGTATAAAAAGTTTATAATACAAAAAAAATTGTACAACGTAAAAAATATCACATAAAAATTGAGACAGACTATACAGAAAAGAGCGAAGAAATTCCCAGAGAAAATTCAAAGCTGCCTGGAGTTAATAGTGGTGCTCCCATGAAATCAGTTTTCGGGTTTTTAGAAAACAGAACCACAGCTTAACAAGGACTGAATGTACACGAGTATACCCAGTAATTATGTATAAATACAGTGATTACGCAAAGGAGTTTCTCTGCAAGTTTAGGATTATTCTTCCCTGATCTCGGGCATCTGTGAGAAATACAATGTACCACATGATTTTGACAGATCAATACATTTTTTTTGAAGGGGACAAAAGTTCCTGCGTAACTTTTCTCCCTGTCTTTCCCTGATGTACATAAAAAAGTTTCCAGGTAACAATCATGTAACCTGAGCAAGGTAAACTGGTTTCTTCCAGCGTTCATGTCTCTTAGGACTGGCTCAAACGGGACAAAGCCGGGTGGTGGGTTTCCCCGCACGTGAAGCCCCAACACTCCCAGCCGCGACGCCGGGATCCGCTGCAGGAGCAATTGCTCCTGAAAAGGCTCGGGCGTCCTTATATCCGCGCAAAATTTCATTCACATTTCTTGCGAAGATCCCGCCTAAACTTTCCGCTCCGCGATGAGGGCCTTGCGTCTCCCTGCCCGAATTCTCAGCGAGGTGCCGGGGAAGCGGCCGGAGAAGCGTCGCGGCCGGCCGGGGAAGCTCCCGCCGCGCTCCTTCCAGCTGTGGCTTCACCAGCTCAGCTCTGAGCCGAGAAACCTGAGGAAAGGAACACGCACAAACACGCAGGGGTGATCCGCTCGCTAGGAAGTACTGAAATATTGCCAGGGGAATAATAAATGTGTTAAAAACCTACATGACCGCCCGAGGCTACGGCACAGACAGGTTTGTGAGGGTCAGAGAAGAGGGGGGAGCACGAGGAGCTCTCCACCCTCTGCAGCCAGGTTGCTTTTAGGGAGAATTAAGAAAGAACAAAGTTTTGCCCCATCCATAGGAAAAAAAAAAATATATATATATTTAATTTTTGAGAAAGGTCCCTCGGGGCTGGCTGAGTTCTCAGCTCACTGAACAACTTTACGTTCCGTTCAGCTGCTACAAACCAAGGAGCCCCGCGGAAATGAGCGGGAGCACCCCTGGGCAGTAAGGAAATACATGGGTCTGCAGGACTGAACCGCTAAGTCATCCATCCGGGGAAGGTGTTAATGAACTGTTCCTAAAATACATCAGGGTAACTACCCAAACACCTCTTCTTAGGACCTCCAGAGAAGACCAAGAATTGGCCTGGGGATGTAATGCTGCTTTGCTTGGCCATGGCTGCTAGCTCACGCTGAGACAACTCAACACAGTCAGTGCAAAAATATTCATTTTGTATCAGTTTCTGAAGGGAAGTATAAAAATGCCACAAGAAAGAAAGTCATTGCTAATATCGGAAGGGAGGCAATTCTGACCTACGTAGCAAAACATGTACTAGGCATCTGGTAAACTTTCTGATAGGAATTCTTAAAATACATCTGAAACACAGTGATGTAATTAAACAGATATAATGGGAAGGCGGTACCTTGTAGGGCTTGCAGTATCTCATAGGATGCTTTTTCACTGAGACTTCTGTACAAAGCCTCTGCAGTTCCGTTGCTTTTTTCCCTCTCTCTCCACTTGCTTAGCACCAGAAATTTTTGCATATTAACTTCTTCCTCCACTGCCTGAATCTGCTCAATGTCTCTCATTTCCATCTGAAGACACTCAATGGCGATTTCTCTCCACTGCCTACCAAACAACTTTGCGATCATCATCAGCTGTTGATCGGTTAATTTTTTTGTTTTGACTCCATCTGAAAAGCCACAGAACAAAAACCAGATTTCACATTGCTCTTCCCATTAGACTTGTAACTAAATGTCACTATTAGTTCTGTGCATGGCTGGGGACATACAATGAAGGTGATCTTATTATTCAGATTATCCAGCAAGGTCAGAGCCAAGGGCTGGAGAAAAGTACCCGAAGGACTAAGAAGGTGACAACGTCTGATTGCATGCTGGGTGCTGTAAAGGGTTTTTTTTCCTGATTTATAGGCATCTATTTGTCCAGAAGAACCTCCCTTGGTACGTTAAGTTACCAAACACCCAGAGATTTTGTGACGTAGAACGTTAAGGCCACGCCAAGCGCTCGCTACCTCCCTGGTGAGTTCAGATGCCTGCTGTTCTCGAAACCTACAGCTGCTCAGGAAGGTGATGTCTGGTTTTCCTTCAATGGTGATGGCTCAGAAGTCTCAGCCCGCGCTGTTAAAACAGACTGAGCTGCTTTCCTGCTCCCTGTCACCACTTACACATAAAACCCGGGTTGGGAGGAACGGAAGCTCTCCCTCTGGTGGCTACATGCACCATAAATAAACACCTACATGGCTACTTCAGCTGATTTTTTTTTTTTCACTCACTTATTGAAATAACATTATTTCTTCCATATTTTTTCCAAGTAACTATTAGGAAATAAGTAGTTTCTGGGTGGGAGCTCCCAGACACCAAGGGTTTCTGACCACTGGGACATCACATGTCAACCATAAATGGGAGCTGATATTTTTTCAGAAGAACTCAGACTGTTATGGCTCAGGAGATATGCCAAACGCAAAATCTGAGACATGTAGCGGAAGCCTCTGTCAAAAACAGCCGCTATTGCCCAGTCTTAGAATACAATACCATTTTACCTGACCCTTATAAAGCAAATTTCCCAGCTGTTTTCCCCATTTACTTCCCCAGTGAGTGACAAACAGTGTACTAAAGTATGCAAACGTAGGTACAAACCCTGCATCTACAAAAGCAGTGCTTTCCTTTCCTATATTTCAAGCTCAGCTTTGTGGAAGCCTTTAAAAAAATTGAACTCAGCTTCAACTCGTGGGATAGAAAAAAAAAAAAACAAAACAACACCAAACCCCAACCTGTTCTTTTATGTGACACAGAAATTCTCTACCTGCGCTATTGCTGGTCTTTTGCTTTTTGCTACAGAGGTTGTCTTCTTCCAAAATGCTGAGGGCTGGTTTCCGTTTTTGGACACCTAAGAAGCAAGGGAGAGGTGGTGTGACATCCTTCGTATCACTTGAGCTACAACAGCGAGCAAGGTACACAGAGGACAAGCAGCCCCGACTTATCTTCAAATTGACTTACTGCCTGCACTTCTTTTCTGCTCGTTTTTGTTCTGATCGTAATGTATCCAGTCACCTGGTAAACAGTTTTCAAAGGAAACAAAAGGTGAGGCAGGAATTCCCATCGCTGTGCCCTGCATCCAACAATTCACAGGCACAAACCCAAACTGTTGGGTGGATTCGGGCTGCTGAGCTAAGGTTTTATATAATGAGCTGATTTTCTCCCCTTTTATCCAACATGCAGCAGCACGCCATCTCTGACATTGCAACAGAGACTGTGTTTTATTCCCAGTAAGAAAAAACTAAAGCGGAGCATCCTCCCGCACACCCCGCAGCCTTCGCCTGTTTGCTCGCGAGGGATTATGCAGGTTACTGCAACACCCACCGCACGACCTCCCGGAGCTCCTCTCTTTGTGTTTTAGCACTTCCAGCTCCAAACGCTGCAATTTTTTTTTAGCAGGAATTTAGGTGCATCTAAGGGCTGAATTATACCCCGAGCCCTGCATCTTTTCAGCAGGAACCCACTAGTTGTGGGAAGACCAAAGACTCACTCTCTCTTAGTTTTGCTTTCCATACAGTTGCATCAGACTCCAGCTCAACCAAGGACAAGGTGAAGTCATCGGGTTTCTCCAAATAGACTTCAATGTAACTTTTTAGTTTCAAGAGAGATCCATCAACAAATTCAATTTCCTATACGATATAAACATGTTAAAAACAAATATTTATCTGAAACGTAAACTAAAGAGGAGGTATTTGGCTGTTGGCACAGATCTGAGCTCAGCTCTGATCTCCTCAGAGTTTTGCTCTTGACTTTAGGGTCAGCATTTCATCCCAAAATTTTAAGGCTCTAAGAGGCAAATGCTTTCTGCAGCAATGGCAAATAAATGTGAAAAATTTCCTTAATGCCACTGCAGGAACAAGCAGGAAAAACCATTTTGTGCCATGTTTGTAATGAAGCTGAAACGCACGAAATGAGGACTGTGGAAGGGACTTACCTCTGGAGTTACTTCAGCTTCTGGCTCACAAACTAATCTATACTTCTTTCCTTTCTGTAGTAATTTTTGGCACACGGGAGGCTTGTCAATTTTAATGCATTTCTTCTTTGAATGTTTTACAGCTCTTGATATATCCTAAAATTTAAAAAGGTGATTTAAAGGTTACTCGCTTCAGTAAATGAATTAACATTTAAAATCTGTGTTAATGTGGCTCCGTGGGCTTTTCTCTGGCCCAGCTCTATAGCACAGCCACGAACCCGTTCCCCAGGGCAAGCTTTACAGAAAGCGGTGCACTAAACACCACGCTCAAAAAACAGCCACTAAACCTCTTCAGCCATTGTGCTACATGGGTGAAATTAGCTAGAGGAGGTCTGCAACCTGAAGAAAATTAAGGTTATTCATTGCTGTCTTCTCCTGCTGTTTGCCTTCGTATTGTAGCAGCGAATGGGTGAGAGGACAAGAAGCCCTCCGGTATAAATCCTGAGGTTTTGGTGGCCAACGGGTGTCTGATGTCTTTCTTTTCTACAGCAGCGTGTTGAGTGAGAGTGTGGACAGGCACAACTGCTTAAGTATCATCTCCTAGCTTGGCAGACCTTCCTGGTATGGCAGTTTCATTGTATAGATATATTCTATGTATATATAGTAGTATTGAATGCAAACACTGGGATGAGAGAAGAGCATCCCCATCCTCCACGCAACACCCCGACAACCAGCCCTGCCAGCATTGCAGGGTGAGAGGACAAGAAGCCCTCCAGTATAAATCCTGAGGTTTTGGTGGCCAACGGGTGTCTGATGTCTTTCTTTTCTACAGCAGCGTGTTGAGTGAGAGTGTGGACAGGCACAACTGCTTAAGTATCATCTCCTAGCTTGGCAGACCTTCCTGGTATGGCAGTTTCATTGTATAGATGTATATCTATGTATATATAGTAGTATTGAATGCAAACACTGGGATGAGAGAAGAGCATCCCCATCCTCCACGCAACACCCCGACAACCAGCCCTGCCAGCCTTGCAGGGTGAGAGGACAAGAAGCCCTCCGGTATAAATCCTGAGGTTTTGGTGGCCAACGGGTGTCTGATGTCTTTCTTTTCTACAGCAGCGTGTTGAGTGAGAGTGTGGACAGGCACAACTGCTTAAGTATCATCTCCTAGCTTGGCAGACCTTCCTGGTATGGCAGTTTCATTGTATAGATATATTTCTATGTATATATAGTAGTATTGAATGCAAACACTGGGATGAGAGAAGAGCATCCCCATCCTCCACGCAACACCCCGACAACCAGCCCTGCCAGCATTGCAGGGTGAGAGGACAAGAAGCCCTCCAGTATAAATCCTGAGGTTTTGGTGGCCAACGGGTGTCTGATGTCTTTCTTTTCTACAGCAGCGTGTTGAGTGAGAGTGTGGACAGGCACAACTGCTTAAGTATCATCTCCTAGCTTGGCAGACCTTCCTGGTATGGCAGTTTCATTGTATAGATATATTTCTATGTATATATAGTAGTATTGAATGCAAACACTGGGATGAGAGAAGAGCATCCCCATCCTCCACGCAACACCCCGACAACCAGCCCTGCCAGCATTGCAGGGTGAGAGGACAAGAAGCCCTCCGGTATAAATCCTGAGGTTTTGGTGGCCAACGGGTGTCTGATGTCTTTCTTTTCTACAGCAGCGTGTTGAGTGAGAGTGTGGACAGGCACAACTGCTTAAGTATCATCTCCTAGCTTGGCAGACCTTCTTGGTATGGCAGTTTCATTGTATAGATGTATATCTATGTATATATAGTAGTATTGAATGCAAACATTGGGATGAGAGAAGAGCATCCCCATCCTCCACGCAACACCCCGACAACCAGCCCTGCCGGCCTTGCTACCTCACTCCCCTCCCCGACACGGGCCACACCTTTATAAAGGAGTCGTTGTTTGTAGCCACGTAGACCCGAAAGGACAAGGAGGGATGCTCGTCGACCACTTTGTAGAGGATGACGGCGCCGTGGTACTGGACGGGCTCCTGGCTCTGGATGAGCGGTCCCACGGGCGACAGCGAGCTCACCACCCACTTGACGTGCGAGGCCGAGTAGTCGGCCGAGGGCTCGATGGCTGCGCCCTCGCCTTTGACGTGCAGAACCCTGAAGGCCATGCCGGCGCCATGACCTGGGGGGACACGGGGCCGCCTCAGCACCTCCCGCCCCGGGGAGCCGGCGGCTTCCCGCGCCCGCCGGGCACTCACCGCTGAGGCAGAGGGAGTGGGGGAACTGGATGGAGGTGAGAGCGGCGGCCGAGTCGCAGCGCACGTTGAAGAGGGGGCCGCCCACGATCCACGGCTTTTTCACCAGGTTGGCGTATTTGCTCCAGGATAAGAGGGAATATGTGATTTTGACGGCCCCCGTCACCTCAAAAATCAAGCCCGTGAAGCTGCACTGGTAAGTCCCCTCTGCATCCAGCTGCACCCTGCAAGAGCGACCCAGTTAGTTCAGTTTCCACCACCTAGTAAATACCATAACAATGTGGTTTGCAAGGGATAACAGAGAAACTCCCTTCCCAACAAGTCTAGAGCACTTTATCTGAATAGCACAGAAGCCACAACAATTTTATTTTATTTTTCTCCAGCCTCTATGTTTAAACCATCACTGGAGTGTTAAACACCGGCCAGGAGGACACAGCCAGTGTATGTAAAAAAAAACTGTAATGAACATTTTGCATAACGTTTCCTGTAAATGAGGCAGTTACTTTTACACAAAGGGCTCAGCCCAGCTCCCATCCATGTCAGAGCCAACGTCGTACACAAACAACAACGTCACACAGTGATGACAACTTCCAAGGCAGAGAGAGGGAGACCAAGGCTGGCATCCAAAGAAAAATGCAGTGCAAACTGGGGGAGGACGAATAATCCTGTGAAGCAGGGCAAGACCCCTCAGGTATGCCCAGACTAAAATAAGCATGTAAAAATGTGCCTGATATTAATTACTGAAGCAAGACGGGGCAGGCAGGAAGCCATCCTGAGAGCTTTCTTGGGCCAGGATCCGGAGGCAGCACAGGCAGCTGCTCAAATTGTTTCTTTTTAAGGATTTTGGGGCATCTTCTAGTATAACTCCAAATGTATTTGTGCAGCAAATTAGTCTTTTCCCCATTTAAACCAGAGAGAGAAGTATCTTGATGAGAACAATGTAAATGTAAAACCATTATACTCAAAAAATCCATACAAATATTGTTTTCCAGCAAGCCTCCTAGGGGTCACTTGCTCCTTTCGGTCCTATAAATAGATCAAAAAAAAAAAAAAACCATACTTAAAAAGGTGATGAGAGAGCAGAACTACAACTTGCAAATTATCTCGTGCAAAATATGTGGGTTGTTTTTCTTATAAACGTACATTTCCACTTCTGCAATGTTCACAGGGTGGCAGACAGTTCACTCCTAGTGAGAAAACAGGACAATCAGCTCATTAAAAGCAAAGTAATTAAACACTCTGGGGGAAAAAAAAAAAAAAAAAAAAAAACAAAAACAAAAAACCCACCAAACAAAAAACAGCCCTGGAGAGATCTGTTACTACCTGATTCATTGCCACACAGTAGCGATTCCTTCTCCTCCTGTTCTTCATCTACAAAAAAGAAGTTTGCAGCAAATACCCCAGCCTCCAGTGCACTTCTGTGCCCATATTCAGCCAGGACAACCCACCAATTTAATTAGCTTACATTCATAAAAACCTAAGGAGAATATTCCTAAGACTAAATTCTTGCACGCACACTGGCACGTCTGCGAGTGCAGGCGTTGCACAGCGCGGGGATGAAGCTGAACATCAGGATACAACTTTTGTCTCAAAAGCTCCTAACTTGCCCAAACGCCTGAAAATTTTTCACTGGGGTTAAAAAAAGAAGATTCATCCCCAGGATTGAGTCTCACCGCGCCGGGTACAAACTTCAGCCACCCCGCATGGAAGCTGGCAACGGCGCTTCCCACGCTATTTGCGGTGTATTTGTCCCTAAAATGATTTAAAAGCGCCTCAACCCCCCCCTTATTCACCCCCACCACGACGGAAAGCAAGCAGGGGTGGCACGGGGCGGGGGGGCTGAAGCTTTAAGCGCGAAGGGTGCTGCTCCCCATCCCAGCGACACCCCTCTCCGGCTGCAAGCGGGGCCTCCAGCCGGGCTGTCCCAAAGCCACCCCGGGGCCCCCAGCCCACCCCCCCCTGCCCGGGGTGGGCTCTCTAGCAAGTCCCTTTGCCAAAAAGCCGCGGCGGAGGTGCCGGCCAGCTCTAAATCGCTCTCCCGCCATCGCGGGACGCTCCGCCCCGCGCATCCGTTATCCGCGGCGGCTTCCGCGCGAGGACCGAAACAACAGCACACTCACCCGACCTTCCTCCGTGCGACTCCTCCGCATCTGATGAGGAAAAGCCTTGCAATTATTTAGCTAAAGACTATCAAGCTTGCCCGAGACCAGAATAAACTGCTGGTGGTGGTAACCCATGTAAGCGCAAACCCGCAGGCTTTTCATCAACAGCAAACACTTCCTTTGATTCTTTTCCTGTCCATCCTGTTTTGCCGCTTCTGCTGCCAACTTTTAAGCAGATTTATAGCCTCTTGGTGTTTGGATGGATACTGTGGTATAAAAACCTTTGCGTGTGTTGTGTCTCCGAGGCTAAAGCCACAGTAGCTGCTGCTCCTCTATTATTGCTCTGCTCGAAGCTGAGCAGCTAGGAAATCATTTGCTCACCAAAAATATCATTCTGCTTTTCAGCATGCAATCACCGAATTAACAGTCTTATACAATAACCCTGCGACTATTCTCAGGCAAAGCAGCTGCTTTAAACTGAACGCACGTTTTCAAGAGGGAGAAAATATATAAATTGCAACGCGCCGCTCACCTGACTCCTCATCCGAGCTGCTGCTGGAGCTTTTTTCCAAACTGTCCTCTCCTTAACAAAATTACACCCCGTTAGTCACAGGCAGAATGAAATAAAGCAATGCCACAGGTAAGTGAAAGAGCACATCTAGAAGTTTAAATACATCAGGCTGGCCAGCAAGTTAGATAATATAACAGAGTAGAAAAAAATATTTAGGGGGAGAAGAGCAACAGAACATCAAATCCCAGAATCAGAGGAGGCTGAGGGGTCACCCAGGCCCTTCTGTAGGGTACCTGTGATGTTCAAGATGCTGAATTGTAATGTTTTACACAGCCTGGGACTATTTTGGAGCTTCACCCGTGGCATGTCCCAGTTCACCCAGTTGTATTATGGTTTTCCATGGCATGCCCACGTGGTGGGAGAAGCATCGGTGGGAGCTGGTGTGCCCCACCAGCGACGTGACTCATGTGGCTGCAGCACCCGTGGCTTTAATAAATTATTCTTATACATGTCAGTCGAAGGGAAACCAGGATTGCAAAGCAAGCGACTCGAGGAGTTGCAGCAGTGTCTACACTGTGGTTTTGTCACGTTTGGGGGGGGTGGGGGTGGGGCACAAGGCTGGCCACGCCAGCCCACGCGTGGCGAAAGCCCTCAGGCACACGTGTGCTCACCCGTTGGGTGCTCCTCGGCCGAGCCCTCTCCCTCCGCACCGCTGGCCGCCGCCTCTGCAAGAGAAAAGCAGCCAGGGGGTATAAGCTTGAAGGAGATTTAACACTCCCCTTGGCTTTTTTGTACTATGCAGGTATATAGGAAAGGAATATAAATTTTAAAAGTCAGGATTGGAAAAAACAAAACAAAACAAAACAAAACAAAAACAAAAAACACAAAGCAAAACTCATCCATTAAACTAAGGCACGGCACTGCGTTTTTTACAGTTATAAAATTATCATTTCCATTCCGAAGGATGGGCATTTCTCATAACAAACCCAACTGAAGCGCTGTATCTCACAAAATCATCGTACCTTTTTCATCTGAAGAGAGGGACTCGGCTCCGCTGGAAGACAAAATGGGAAATACTTGAGCAGATCCGCCCGTCCTCTCCCACACCTCCCCGCAAGCGGGCATTTGCCCACCTCCCTGCCCCTTGGCATCGCTCCCCGGCTTTGCCCAGGGAACCGGAGGTTGTAAAGTAACTTAGGATGGAGGGGTTGGTGATCAAAAACTCGTTTTCTCTAACAGCACCTCTTGCCCTTGCCGTGCCGGGGACGCCTGGCTCTGTTTCCCACTGGCACGAGCCCCTTTTTGCGAAGCGCCCGGACTTTGGGCACCCAGCGGTTTTGGGAGTGCCCCAACCAATCTTCTTCAGCAAGGCAGGAAGCTCAGATAAACACGGTGGCTCAGACCTGGCCGATGACTCTAACGGACCCCATCACCCATTTGTGCCCTGTGGCAAAGCCAGACCAACCTTCAGTCTCCGTTCCCTCTTGAAAAGGGGCAACGGGCTGGTTTTATCATTTATGGGTAAAGATTAGGTCTGGAAAACTTTCCGTGGAGGTCCACAACATCCTTCCTGTGGCTCCACTGAATAACCTTCCACCAAAGCTGCCGCTGAGGATGGGGAAAACTGGGCCCGGTTACCGTAAATCAGCAGGTGACATCCAGCTCTCCTTCGCTTCGGTGGCACGAGGAAATATCTCAGCCCCTCCGCCCCGCCAGCGGCCAGCTGGAACGGCAGCCGTGCGCCCCGTGGGCAGGGAAAGAGCGTCTCTCCCCCTGGCCCTTTGGAGGCAGGTGAGGGATTGCAGTGCCGCCCCGGCGATGCCGAGGGACGCTGGTGATGGTGAAGCCAAGCCGCGGCAGTTGCTCTTTGGCAGCTCAGCTCAGGATGCTGATTTTGACCACCCCAGGCCGACACGGCGCACCCGGTCGGCGCACGGGGGTGCTGCCAAGGGCGAGCGGGCATCACCGTGGGGGGTCAGAGCCACTGTTGGCCTGGGGCAGCTCAAACACAAAATATCGAAATAAAAAATAAATAGGTGGCAATGGTAGAGGAGGGAAAATAAATCCCCCAATGGGTGGCTGAGGCAGCTCAAACACAAAATTTCAAAATAAAAAATAAATAGGTAGCAATGGTAGAGGCGGGAAAATAAATCCCTTAACACGTGGCTGAGGCAGCTCAAACACAAAATTTCAAAATAAAAAATAAATAGGTGGCAATGGTAGATGCAGGAAAATAAATCCCCTAACATATGACAGAGGCAGTAGGTGAAGTGATATAAGAAAAAGGGGGGATATTGGGGTGAAGCACGGGCGGGGGGGGGATGCTCCCACGCAGCCTGGAGCTGTAGGAGTTTGTTGCTCAAGGGCAGGGAAATAGATGCTGCAGCAGGAGAAACTGGGCAAGAGTTTCACTGCGGGCATGAATGGGGAGTTACACAATGGGCTTTGTGCTTCCAAGCAGTATCTTAAAAAAAGATAAATAATAATGACCTAGTATTTGGAAGATTTGGAAAAAGCCTGCATATACCCCCAGAGACGGTGCCCGAGCCAAGCGCTGTTTGTGCAACCCTTCCATCGAGCTTGCTAAATAAGGTTTGCCTGCTGCAGGCTTCCAGCCCTCACAGCTTCATTTCCCTCCTCCTAAACTAAATAAACATGCTCCGGAGGAGAGAAGCAGGGAGAAAAAAAAATAAAAAAAATATAAAAAAAAAAAAAATTAAAAAACCCAACAAAAAACAAACAAACAAAAACAACACCAACCCAGGCCTAATCAAATTCAATTTAAGAAATTATTGCACACAATTAATGAGGAAGAAAAGCATTGCCGGCTTCATCCCCTGCCCTGCAAGAGCTGCACGGGTGGGAGTTGTTCCCCAGTCCCAAAGGCAAAGTGGGGTGACCCCCCCCCCCACACACACACAAACCCCCCCCCCCCCGGCCTTGAGAGGTTTAGAGGGGAAAGATAAACAGGCTCGTTTCTAAACGGCGCTGCGCGGGGGAGGGGGGGGGGTGTGGCGGGGGCGGGTCAAGGAGAAGCGGGGCCGGTGCAGGTGGGGGGGGCCCGGGGCCGGGGGGTGCGGGGAGAAGCGGGGCCGGTGCAGGTGGGGGGGGCCCGGGGCCGGGGCGGGGGTGGGGCGGGACCCGGGGAAAAGCGGGGCCGGTGCGGGGGGGGGGGGGGGTGGGGGGGAGGAGGGGGGGGGCACGGGGCGGAGCGGGGCTGGCGGAGCGGGAACGCCGCTGGCTCGCCCAGCGCTTTTGTCTGCCGGAGGAGAAGATGCGGAGCGGGGCCGCGTCCTGGCCTGGGGGGGGTGGGACACACACACACACACACACACACACACACACACACACACACACACACGACTGGGGGAACCCCCGCTTAAGGTGTAAGGCTGGGCTCTGTGCCCCAAAACCGCTGTGGGGTTGTTTTTTTTTTTTATTTTAGAAGGGGGGGGGGGCGGGCTCCGTGCCAGCGCGGGGTAGGGAGCGGCAAGGTGGGGGAGATGGAGGGATCGGGGTGATGCTGGGGGGGGGGGGGGGGTGTAGGAAGCAGGAGGATGCTGGGGGCTGCAGATGGTGCGGGGGGCTGGGAGGATGCTGGGGGGGGATAAGCAGGATGCGAGAGGGAGGGGGAGGATGCTGGGGGTGCAGGGGGCTGGGGAGAGGATGCAGAGTGGGGGATAATTGGGGGGGGGCGAGGGTAAGGGGAGGTGCATGGCGGGGGGGCGTAGCCGGGCCTCCCCCCCCCCCCCCCCCTCCCCACCGCCAGGATTCCCCCCCCGTCCCCGCTCACCTGTCCGGGTCCTGCCCGCGGAGGGACATCGCGGAGGAGGCGGCAGCTGCGGAGGGAAAGCAGCGCGGACCCGCGCGAAGGGGCGGGCCCGCCCACGGCCACGCCCCTCGGCCACGCCCCTGCGGCCTCTGCACCAATACACACACACCCCCCACACACCCCCCCCCAGCTCTGTGGGGGTGCAGGGTCCGGCCACGCGTGTCCGTGTCCCACCCAAACGCGCTCGTGCGCGGGCTCCACCCCCCCCCCCCCCCAGTGGGACCCACGGGCGTGGAGGCGGGTGCACGAGCGCACTGGGGACGAGCTGGGAACCAGTTCTGTGGGTGTCTGGTGCACACACATGTAGGCACGCTAGCTATACCGGTGTGCTGAATATATACTGTGTAGACATGTATGTATGCGCACTGTATATGTCATCTATAACATAACATACACGGACAGGGGGATCGATGCACCCTCAGCAAGTTCCCCTCTGGCACCGTGGTGCGGGGACACGCGGGAGGGCAGGGGTGACATCCCGAGGGACTGGACAGGCTGGAGAGGGGGGCCCGGGCAAAATTCATGGAGTTCAACAAGGCCAAGGGCAAGATCCTGCCCGTGGGTCGGGGCAATCCCCAGCACAAACCCAGGCTGGGGGAGGAGGGGCTGGAGAGCAGCCCCGAGGAGAGGGGCTGGGGGTGCTGGTGGGGGGGAAAACTGCCCGTGAGGCAGCCCCGTGCGCTGGCAGCCCAGAACCCACCCGTGCCCTGGGCTGCAGCCAGAGCAGGGGGGGCAGCAGGGCCAGGGAGGGGATTGTCCCCCTCTGCTCCGCTCTGGGGAGACCCCCCTGCAGTGCTGGGGCCAGCTCGGGGGCCCCCAACAGCAGAAGGACCCGGAGCTGCTCGAGCGGGGCCAGAGGAGGCCACGGAGATGCTGGGGGGGCTGGAGCAGCTCCCCTGGGGGGCCGGGCTGAGAGAGTTGGGGGGTTCAGCCTGGAGAAGAGAAGGCTCCGGGGAGCCCTTCGAGCAGCCTCCCAGGGCTTAAAGGGGGGACAGGAGAGGTGGGGGGGGACTCTGGGTCAGGGGGTGGGGATGGGACAAGGGGGGACAGTTTTGCACTGAAAAAAGGGCAGATTTAGATGAGATCTAAGGCAGAAATTGTTCCCTGTTTGGGGGGTGAGGCGCTGGCCCAGGGTGCCCAGAGCAGCTGTGGCTGCCCCCTCCCTGGAAGGGTTCAAGGCCAGGTTGGACGGGGCTGGGAGCCCCCTGGGCTGGGGGAAGGGGGCCCTGCCCGGGGCAGGGGGGGGCACTGGGGGGTCTTTGAGGTCCCTTCCCACCCAAACCAGTCTGTGATTCTATGGTTCTATACAGTAAAATACCTCACCTCAGCACACACACGGCGTCTGGGTACAGCCCCCACACCAAGGTGCCAGCCCAGGCTCCAGGGCTGCCAGCACCCACACCGGGGTGGCAGGGACAGGGTCCACCACCCCAGGGTGCTCACAGCCCCGTCCAGCCAGCACCCAGGGCCACCCTGGCATCACCCACCATCCTTCTGCCGGCGGGAGACACCGCGGGCCGCTCTGCACGCTGCGAGGGAAAATGCCAGATACTGCCATCGCTGCCGGCATGTCAGGAACAGCCTCTGAGATACTGGCAGAGCTGCTTATAAAAAGAAGAAATGTAAATAAAAGAAAGAAAAAAAAACGAGCCTAAACCTGCAGCAGCACATATTTAAATTTTATTATTATTTTTTTTTTTAATAAAAAGGCAATATAAGCTTCTCCACCAGAAGCATTCTGGTGAGCTGCTAAACCAACCCTGAGCCAACCCCGAAGCAGTTCCTGGGTGCACATGGGGTCACCCTTTGTGTAGCCGCCCAGTCCACAGACCAGAAAAAAAGATAAGCTCTGTAAACAAGGACAAGTGTGTAAGTAAACGTAGTCTCAAAATGCTGTTCCAGGTGCCTTCAAAGTGCTCAGCTCCCACATTCTCCCGTGCTGGGTGTGAGTGAGCTGGCTGTGGCATCGGGAACCCCCCCTGGTGCTGCCCCTCTCCCCAGTTCACCCAGTCACAGCTCCCGGCCACCACCACATCCTGCCAGCCCCACGCTGCCAACCAATCCCAGAAAATCCATATCCTTAGGAAAACACATGGGAACAAGCTATAATGCTCGGGCTGCGAAGGGTGTTTGTGATACTGTGATTGAAACCTGACCAAATGAAAAAAAAAAAAAAAAAAAACATTTAATGTGAGGCACTGGAAAAGCGATATAAAGGGTCAGTTTAGGCAGGGATGAAAAGGCCAGCGAAGCCACCCAAGGAAATCCCCTTCCAAGCAACACCCTGATGCTGGGCCAAGCACCAGCAAGTCCAGCCTGGAGCAAACTAAAGGAGGTGGAAAAAGTTTGCGGAACGACAATACGAGTTTGAAAGTGAAAATAAGCCGACAGTAGGACACAGCAAAGAGTAAGTAAGCAAAAAAAAAAAAAAAAAGCAAGACAGAAGAGAAATGAGAAATGGAAGGTAGCTAGGTGATGCAGAGGGCTCGGGCTGGTGGTTTTGTCTGTCCCAGACCCATCCCTCAACCGCCACTCTGAGCTTGCTAAGGGTGGCTGTCCTGAACCATTATTTTCCTGACTTTTTTCCAGACATCCTCCCACTGAGGTGAAGAAATATAATCACGCAATAAACATCCTGATAACTATGCCAACACAAAGTGTTCATAAATTATCCTGGGGCAGGCCCAGCCCAGCACACGTTGTCTGCAGAGTCGTGCAGCAGCTGTATTACTTGGTCCAAAATATTTAAGTTTTTTCCTTCGAGGGCCTGATTCACCAGTAGCACATACTGGTCCAGTTTTGCATCAGCAACACTTTACCGGTTTAAATTGGAGTCATGCTGTGATGAAACGAGGATTGAATTCAGTTTCCCAAAGCTTCTTTCCAAGGTAGGGACAGCACTGATCGTGATGTAGCTTTAACAACATGTGATAAGCTAATTCTTCCTGCGGAAAGAGAAAGTCAAACTGTTAATTGCACCCCGGGACAAGCTCATGCAGGCAGCAGCACGGGGTTTTCCCGCCTCTCTTCTCCGAGAGGAGGCACATGAGTTCCCCATCGCTGAGGTCAGCTGAGGGAACACGCCATGGGCGGCCGTCCGAGTCCCCACGGAGGATTCAGGACACGGAGCCTGAGCTGCCTTCAGATTTTTCCAAGGGTGCCAGATACTCGTCACTGAAAAATCAGGCTCTGCTTGAGCCGTTCGGCTGGGGCAATGCGAACGCAGGCGCCCAGAGCCGTCCAGGGCATTTTCACCCTCCTACAACTCCTCCCCGATTGCAGAGAGATTCCCCCAAACCCCGTGTCTGTCCCAGCCGTCGGGCAGGGAATGGGCAATGCCACTTCCACGAGAGAACACCCGGATTCACAAATGGGGAGAGATCATATAAACACAGTACCTGTACCAAATATGCGGGGGGTAGCGGTTTGTCTAAGGAGTGAGAGAAGGAGAAGAACCATCTCTTCCTTCTTCTGTGGCAAATCTGACCACAGTTTTGAGAAGCAGTTTTTTCAGCACAGAAGTTGATAATGACACTTCTTTTTCCTCTTCTCTCTTCTTCTTCATCTTTTTCTTCTTCTTTCTTCTTCTTCTTCCTTCTTCTTCTTCTTCATCATCTTTTTCTTCTTCTTTCTTCTTCATCATCTTTTTCTTCTTCTTTCTTCTTCTTCTTCTTCCTTCTTCTTCTTCTTAATCTTTTTCTTCTTCTTTCTTTTTCTTCTTTCTTTCTTCTTTCTTCTTTCTTCTTTCTTCTTTCTTCTTTCTTCTTTCTTCTTTCTTCTTTCTTCTTCTTTCTTCTTTCTTCTTTCTTCTTTCTTTTTTCTTCTTTCTTCTTTCTTCTTTCTTCTTTCTTCTTTCTTCTTTCTTCTTTCTTCTTTCTTCTTCTTTCTTCTTTCTTCTTTCTTCTTTCTTCTTTCTTCTTTCTTTTTTCTTCTTTCTTCTTTCTTCTTTCTTCTTTCTTCTTTCTTCTTTCTTCTTTCTTCTTTATCTTTTTCTTCTTTCTTCTTCTTCTTCTTGTTATTAATATTATTTAGAATAGTCTACACATTTTCTCTTTAGGTATTATTTGAGCAACAAATGTATTTACCAGAATACTTAGAGAAAACAAGAATGAGACGTAAAGAAACCTAGTGTAAATGCTCTTGAATAGTCCACTTCATGGTCCCAGACATTTTTCTGCCCAAGCCAGCCATGACAACACTAAGTCACAGAGCTGCATAATTTTCAGCGCTCAAGGAGATGGTTTACCTCTCAGTGGACTCATATTTTTTAAGAAAAGCTCAACCAGCGACCAGTTGTAGTTGCTGTTTTCAGCTGGCTGTGTACCGTCCCAGTACGACCGTGTGTGTGTGTGTGTGTGTGTGTGTTTGAGCCATGTATAGGATCATTAAAATGTATGCAAAGCGAGAGAATTTGTTTGAATGTATTCAAAGAATAGTTATTCACATATTCATACAGGAATTTGTGAGAGTACCCTGTGCCAAACTTAAAATGTGGGCTGTAATTGTTAGCTTATACTGAACAGTCAAATCCCTCTTGCCAGGAAAATGAGATCTTTTCATTCAGATGACAAACGAGTCACATACTTTGCATGCCATCCCTTTGCGATTAGCTTAAACGTGGAATTAGCTGTGTTCAAATTTCAGGGGAAGCATCTCATCGGTCTTCCAAAGCCTGGCACTTTTCCTTATCCATACGTGTCCCTCACACCCCTGCTAAACCGCTTGTCTTGGAACCCACCGCCAGCTTCTCCTGAGCACAGGCCAGGTCATTATTCATGATTATGAAATTAGATTTTTCCTCGCCAGCTCTTGCTCCATCCTCAAGTTAAACAAGCTCTTCCTGCAGCTGCAGGACCATTACTTATTGATAGCAGCAGAATTAAGTCCTTCCCCTGAAAGGAAGGGATCAATGCTAATACTGCAAGTTTCCAGTTGTTACAGCTTCCCCTTGGTACCGTTATATATTGCAGCAGCACAGCTTGATTCAAGGTGAAACCATCCCCTAAATATTTTCCTAAAGCTTGCTGCTGTTACATTTATTTATCTGACAGCCACAATCACCT